CCCCGCCCGCCCTCCCAGGCTTGTCCCCACCGAAACGGGCCGAGCAGGGGGAAGGGGTTAATCACGCTCGAGGCCGCGCGGCGGACGGTTTGAAAGACAGAGACTGGACAGCTGTGTTTGCTGTGGTATTTTTAAACGCATTAATGCAGGCTCCAATCACCCGGCCATGCTTGACCTATTTTTGGCTCAGGCCGGCCATTGTTCTATTTCTGCCGCCGCTGGGCCACGCGGGTGTCGATTCAAATGCAAATGAGTTATCGCAGCCGCTCCCGCCAACTTCGCCCAGCCGCCCGGCCGGGGCAGAGCCGGGCAGGGAGAGGAGAGGGGCGCAGGGACGGCAGCACTGGTCCGGGCTGGGGTAATTCAGACTAAACCCCCGGGGCCTCCCGGTCCCTGGAAAGGTGGCTTATTCGGTTTGATGGTTTGTACGAGGCCGTGTTCCCCCCCCCGCCCTGCCAGAAAGCCTGAAGCACAGAGATAGTTCTTCATTTCTTCTTCCACCTGCTGTTGGCTGCCCGAACGCAACTGCTCAAACTCTGCGGCGCACAGCCCCCTGCGCGCTCACGGCTCCCTTCCCGCAGCCGGGGGCTGCCGAGAGTGGATTTGGGGGTTTCCCCCCGCTCCCGATAGATACTTGTACAAATGCTTAAACATTGCTAATTGCCGAAGCGTATTATCTTACAACCCTCGCTGGAGGAGGTAGGACCGCAGAGGGTCGTGCCCGACGCCCCTGTGCAAGTGCAGTGATGAATCTCTCGTGTAGCTGAAGTGCAGACTGGTTGGAATATGCTGCAGACAATTTACGAGAGTGAATCGTGTTTTTCCTCAGATGGGGTTTCTGGACGTGAACAGCTCTTGGCTCAGCAAAGAATGCACAGTATGATCAGCTCAGGTAAGAGACAGCTCCGTGCCTCCGACTTCAGTGGCTGACCAGGAAAATACACCTCTCCTTTAAAGAAGTGACTTTTATTTTTGTGGGCTTTATGTGAGTTGTTGTTAAATAATTATCTCTGCGATAGTCTGTTAGATAGCAGCTGCTGCTTTTTGCAGGGAGTTTGTCTCCTTCAGCCTGCTGCTCTCCAGCCAGAGCAAAATGCTCGCAGCCAAAATCTAGTTCGGGATTCCTTGTTTGTTTTGTTGCGTGGTTGCAAAATGGGGCTCGTGGTACGGGCTTATTCATGGAGAAAGGCTTCCTCAGCCAGACCTTGTCAGGAGGCTGTAGTTAGAGCCCCTCACAGGCAATTCTGGTCATACCTCTGTTGTAAACAGGATTTGGGCTTTCCCCGAGTTTCCTTTTCTCCAGTTTGCATACAAAGGGAGTTTAATACTAATCCCTTTCTCTTTTCGTTACAGTGTTACTTTCAAATGTCTTTAATATGCGTGGCTTATTTTGCTCCTTGAGAATTATTTGTGAACCTGGCAATGGTGGTCATATGTAATGACTCACTGAGATGTAAATTGGATGTGTTTTTTAATGATGGTATTTCAACGCTGCTGTGAAAGAACACTGGGTGTTTCCTCACGTATTTGAAGCTACCCTTGTATTTTCTAGTTTCTTTGCTAGCTGTGTTTGAGACCTGCAAATGATGTACTGAGGATGAATTAAGTTGGATGAATTGTTGCCATTCAGATAAAATGTCAATTTAGACAGGCTAAAAGCCTAAAAATTTCAGGTTACTCTTGCCCATTCTCTCTTAAACTCTATGAATTCCAGTTCTGTTTTTATTCAGCTAAAACCTCAGTCTTTCAAAGCACAATGTTGTCTGTTTTATATCTTTTTAATCCCAGGTTTCTGAGTTCATTTTTCATAAAGTTGGCTTTATAGAGGACCTATATGTAGAATGCAGGGTGAATTGTTTACTTGTACTTTAGTCTGAGTTTACCCCCCTTTTTCTTGTTATTGTTTTCTCGTCTTTTACTTATTCTTTCTCTTGTTCTTTTTCTTTCACAAAACTTGGCAGTGCTTCTCAGTTTTTAAGATTAATTATGTGTATAGGCAACAGCTCTCTTCATGTATTGCTGGTTTGGTACACCTGTTGAACCCATGTTTGTTTGGTTGGTTTTAAAAGAAAACCCTGTTTCTTCCCCTGTTTTATAGAAAAAGAACTCAAAGTTTTACTTGTGTCTCTTTCTTACATACAATTGTAGAGCAGACTTCTAGTTTCAGATATGAAAATAAATTGTGAGAGATTGTGTCAAATGATAATATCTTTCCTGTCAGAAATGACTTAGTATGTCTTAACCTCATGATGAGTATTTTTCAATATAGGAAGCCCAGGCTACCTCATAATGATTACAGCCTGAACGAGGGAATGAGAGCTTTTATCTGCAGGTTAAAACAATGAGAATGCTTAAGGGGAATGGAGTCTTCCAACTGGTAATATTTAGGATTGGCAAGTTTTCTATTCCTTCATAAAGCTGCTGGGTTGGTTTGTTTCTTTTTGGATCTCTCAAAGAATTTACTATTTGTCTAACTTCTGAGAAGAGATGTTGATCACCAATTACAGTTCCTTTGTCAAGGACAGAAATCAGGTGAAAACTTGTTTACAAATGTGAACAACAATGCAAAGACAGTGGGTAAAAGCAGAAGTTTCTCTGAAAGCATTACAGTTCTGCAAAGCCATTGACAGTGTCGATGTCTTGTTTAAGAATTATTGCTTTTCTTTGGTTTTCCTGAACGGCTCAGCAGGTGTCCAGTGCTTTTGCATTGGTCAAAGAGATAAGACCGACTGCTTCCCCTCCCTCCTGTTTTTGTTTTTTTTTTTAATACTATGTCAAGTTGAAGTTAGCTGTGCACAAGTGAAAATCTGGGGGTTTAGCTCTCTATGATAACTTGTAACTGCCAAGTAATGTTGCTTGAGTAATAGAAATTTTCTCATTTGAAACACAAGAAAGGGAGGTAATTTTCTGTAAGTTTATAGCTCTGCTTTTCTTCACTGGAGACAAGAATATGATGTAACAGTTGATTTTTATCTGATATTACATTAGGCCCATATAACCTATACAATTTCCCCTAGTACCCAGTAGAAAGGGGGGGGGGGCTTAGACTTAAAAAAAAAAAACCAACCAAGAAAACCACAAAACCAAAAAACTTAGTCAAGAATATTATCCAGATAAAAGATGTTTATATATATATTCTGTAGAACACAAAATATTCCTCAGTGTTTCTGTTGGCCTTTAACATACACAACTTGACTGCAAGCAGTTGACATTGTACATAGTCTGCAGTTTAATTCACGTCACATGGAACCACAAAACCTGATGCTGCTGTCGATTCCCTTCAGTTCCCTTGAGTGCAGGGTCTTGCAGGATCAGGCCTGGTAACTTTTCAGGGATTGTCTCCCTCTATGCTGCATATAGGGGAGAAAGAAATAACCAGGGTATGATGACGTGCTCTAGTGTTTGGCGTAGCTGGAATCAGTCATTTGGATTTTGCTTATCACAGCATCCTTACTTTAAAGTTATCTTCACTTACGTGCATGTGACTTTTGCTCATGTTAGAAAGTTGCACATACTTAAGAAAAGAGCAGATCCCTGAACATTTACACGCTGCACCCTTGATATTCTTGAAGTCTTCGAAGCAAGCACAACTTACACACTCAATGGATTTTTAGGTTTGCTAGTTTCCAGATGCAACAGGCATGTATTACGCAACTCTGATTTTAAGCTGGGCTGGAGCCGTCTCCAAAGAGGACAGATTCAATGGACAATGGTACGCATTTGCAAAGCGAACTGTCTAAGGAATTTCTGATAATAGCAGGCATAGGAAATACTTCTGTCATGTGAAGCAGTTCTTCTGGTATTCCCTCAATTACTGCTTTGCCTGTCTGTCTCCATCCCTGCTTGTAAATCATACTATGAATGAGATGATCTGGATAGGTACCAATCAAAAGTCTAATTATGAATGGAGCAATCTAGATCGGCACTGACTCAAGAAGCTGTGTAATTTGCAGACACCTACACCTTACTGCAGGGAGCAGTTTCAGCTATCTTGAGAAGACTGAACTAGATTCTGCCATATGGTACTGTTGCTCTAAAATGCAGCAGTAAGTACTGTGCATCTTTATTTAAGAAAATGATGCTGATATATTCTTATGTGATACCATAATTATTTTAGTTTCACAATTTAAAAAATAGATCTGGAGTCTAAAGCCTCTTATTTAGCTGTAATTACTATCTAACTGTGCTGTTGCTTTTATTTTACCCCAAAAGTCTTAACTTCCATGTGTGTGCAATGCCACAGGGGACCCTAGCATTCGGGTGGCTTCTCATCTTACCACAATGCAAGTAGTAACTCTAAGTCCTTGAAAAAAAGTATTTGGTGCAGCACAGTCCATGGCAAGAATGCTCATTAAAATGTAGTCAATAAGTAACTAATGCAGGACTGTGTTACTCAAATAGATGTCAGTTGTGTGAAGGAGAAGAAAGAACCTACCCAGCTGTGGTATCTGTAGATGTGGGACTTTGAGAAGTTATGCCGAGTTCATTAACTTCTGGTTATTTAATATACTGTGCTGTTTTTCTAAAGGTTGCTACATTTGCTTCGCTGGCCATGTTTTGATGTACAGCCTTGCACTGGCCTACCTAAATTCCACCCTGGCTTTTATTGGATAAGGCATCCTCTGCTTCCTGCCCAAAGCTGTTGTGTTGAAAAATCAAGAGTTCAAGGAGATCTTGAGCTTAAAGCCTTGGCTTGTCACCAAGTTGACAGGTCACCTGAGCAAGTTATGCAATCCTGCTTACGTCAGCTAACCCTTCTGTGAAATACGGAAAATGATACCTGTCAGGCTCAGGAATCTAGAGAGCAAAACTATTCTGAAGGGAACATAATGATTCAGAATGATTGATTTGATTGACTTCATCTACCTACAGGCTTGCAAAACACCTGCAATTTCACAAATGTAGTAAGTGAATGTAGTCACAGTATTTCATTCTCTGCACCAGTCAGGAAACTCAAGCTGTGTCACTTGAATATAAATGACAGAATCAATGCTACATGCATCGTGTTGTACGTGGGTTGACAGGTCCTCATGAGCTATCTTCCCTCAGTAAACCCCGATGTACGAAATTTATCTCATCCGTTGTATCTATCGCATGGCTGCATGACCACGTATACGTGTTTGTACACATGCGTTTGTATTGCCTTCTGGGAAAATTCTTCGGTAGTTGCTCTCTCCTTTTTTTCTGGCCAAACAAAACTTTCTCCTGCTCAACTGTTCCTGTGGAGAGATTGCAGAAAGCAAATTCATTGAAAGGTCTGCTCTGATATTCATGAAAAACTTGACATATTTGCATATCTGAATCAGGTAACGTAAGCTTCTTACAGATACAAAATGTCGCATATGTGGTATCTCAGGCAATAACTCTTCAGAGAGAGTGAGGGTAGATATGCTGAGCTTTTGCTTTGTGATTCTTTTCAGAGTAATGAAGAAAATCGAGTGTGAAAATTCAGTTCAGGGAAGTTCTGGATAACAGCTGGAGAGGCTTTTTCAATGCCTGTCATAAAGGCTAGGTAAAAAAAAAATCTAGTGCTTCATAGTAGTAGCTGAAGTATTTGAATTAATTGTTATGGAAGAGTAAGGCCTTAGCCTTAACAATTGATACAAGGAGAAGAGACAAGCAACACAGACCTGCAGGTCTTACGTAGCTAAAATCTCACTGATTTTGAGTAGAGGCTCTGCCCAGTAATGTGTACTGGACAAGACATTGGTTACGAATTCAGTTGAACAAAAATGCGGTAAAATGGAATGAAGCTGCTTTTTCTGTTTTACATCATTGAGAAGGCATTGAGTACAGACCAATGTTGCCAACTTCATGTGTCTACTGTTTGCAGCTCTACTTTTTCTTTCTTTTTTTTTTATTTAAGTCCCAGCTTCTGGAGCCATGTGATTA